GTTTAGGGTTTTCCAGCCTTCTTTCTACTGTAGGAGTAGGAGTAGGAGTAGGAGTAGGAGTAGGAGTAGGAGTAGGAGCAGTAGTAGTAGTAGTCGTCGTCGTCGTACCAGTAGTCATGGTAGCAGTAGTCGCAGTAGTAGCAGTTGCAGCAGTAGTAGAAGTAGTAGTGGTGGTGGTAGTAGTAGTAGCAGCAGTAGTGGTAGTAGTAGTAGTAGTAGTCGTCGTAGTAGTAGTAGTAGTAGTAGCATTAACAGTAGTCATGGTAGTAGTAGTGGTAGCAGGGGTAGTAGTAGTCGTCGTCGTGGTGATGGTGGTGTTGGTGGTGGTGGTGGTAGTGGCTGTGGTGGTGGTGTTGTAGCATTGGTCGCCGTAGCTTTCGTGATGATGGTGGTGGTCGTAGTGCTTGTAGTAGCAGTAGTAGTATTGGGGGTGCAACAGCAAGCAAAAAGGTTGGCCAATAAAACAAGGAAACAAAGAATCCCGTGGTTGAGTACACTACTCCGAGCACCCACAGCGGATGAAGTCTGGCAAGGTGCTCTTCTTTTATCAGCTTCAATGTGACGAAATCATCGGCATCATCTCCTGCGCACCTGGAAGTGTCTCCTAGTGCTGCCTTGAAAGGCGCAGGGGAAATTCTCAGTAATTGCTATGAACACTTGTATCTTCGAAGATCTGTATTGTCTAAAGAGTTTCGAGGCTGCTAAAGGCTAAGGTCATTGGTACACCTCGTATCGGTTTCATCAGAACTCCACAGTGAGCGGCAGCGACATGAAGGCGACATCGGCAATCTGCTCTGGATCACAGTTGTGACCATATCTTCCATCTCAGCACCACCCTTCCTCTCTCATGTTTATGCTCACAGGCCAGCCTGATACATTGTATTGTGATGTGGAGACACTACCCACAAAAGAGATGTGCCTGCATGCATGTCAGGTAACGGTACAGTACATTTCCAGATGAAGACTCTCATAGTGTGCTGCAGCATCAATTACAAAGCTACAACATATGTTGCATATGTTTCTGATAAATCGCCATCGCACCAATTGCTGTAGTTGACAATGATTAACTGTCGAAGCAGTGTTGTAACTGCATAATTGGCAAAGCAACCGTCCCCAATTGACGCTTTCTCTCCTGACTGTGTAGGGTTATTGAGCCTATGGACTGTCGGAAACGAGAAGCCCCGACCCGCGGCAGATAACATGAAGCATCCGGGATCGGCCGCTCTAAAAACAGCCCAGCGGGTCCCCAACCTCAAACGGCCCAAGACCGCACTCGAATCATTTGTTGCCAAGAGTCGCCACTTTGCACTTGAAAACTTCCTGTGGTTAGAGTCTGGCCGCGAACTCTGCAAGTCTAACTTTACCAAACAAAGCAGCCATCCATTGATTTTGAGCACTGTTTGATGCATCGTTGGGATAAGACCCGTACGCGAGCACATCTTCGTCTGCCCCAAAATAGGTAAGGAAGCCATGCGTCAGAAGCGAATCTACTAGTTCCCGACGATAGCGTGAAACGTGCTCCTCAGTTTCAGCTTCTGCAATAACACGCAAACAGCTCCACCCGAAAACCTCCCAAAGCGAAGGGGCGGGATCTTGGGTGCAATGTAGGCTCTCCATACGAGCCCGACCCCAGTTCCTCGACGATAGTAAGCCTCGGATTGGGGGCTCTTCATTCAGCCGTTATGGTTCCGGGCCACAAGTCCATGACCTCCGAGGCAAGGCAGGGAAGAAGTGGCAAAGCAGATTGGGCCTATCTCTGCGGCAGGAAGTTCTAAGTAAACAAACCGACCGACTGTGAGACTCTTGTCCGACAAACCTTTCGGCCTCAGTCCCCTTTGTTTTGGGACTTGGACTAGACTTCTCTGAACCCACATCCACTCTGCCGGGAAATGCTTGAGGCCTTCCAAAGAAGGATCCGGGCTTGAGCATTGCAATTGCTTGCGGCTCTTTCCTGGCAAAACGACCTTGTACCGCGGCCGCTATACACGACAAGGCTGTGTTGAACAATGCCGCCGCTGAAGCCCATGTTGAAGCTTACTTTGGCTACTGCGAGTTGGGCAATGAGCTTCTGAAAGGGAGCAATCCCGAAATATTCTTGTCTAAGCCAGCAAACCCACTGCTGCCCCAGTATAGGCATGCCGACGCTGGTCGCAGCTGGGTTGCCGCTGTCTCCAGAAAAACGGTATTTCTGGGAATGACGCGTTGGTCTCAGCGAAGCCTGCATTTCTCAGAAGCAGGCCGATTCATGGTGGAGGTGCCACAGGCTTCGTACTTAGCCAGCAAGACCTCAACCCAAAGGCCTCGCGAGTACTAATCACAAACACCATTGTGTCTCTTCGGATTGCTCATTGTGGAAGTTGTGGGCTTTGAAGCTCGAGAAGCCGGTTTCTGTCACAGGATCCGACGGGCCACGAAGTCGTCGATATCACGACAAGAACAACAGCAATTCTCGGAGAGTGGATACAAATTGTACAGGCAGCATCTAGATATGTCTCGCCATGGTTGTGGTCATCATGTTGGTTGTCATCATCTTCGTCAAGGCTGAACAGCACCTGCCCAAGTATGGTCGTCATCCTCCGCAATGGCTTCGTTTCGGTAGCTTCAGAGGCTTAAACTTTGCTGGGACGCAGTTTTGCACCCCGAGGTGCTGCAAATACATGCAACATGACAGTCAACAGTCAGTCAACACTCAACACTGTACAGTCACCAGTTGCAAGACTCTGGGAACGACAGTAGATTCCACAAGTCACTCGTACTAGAGGAAGAATGTAGCTTTTTAAAGTTTCTTAAATGTCCAGAACAGCACAACGCTGCTTGGCAGTGCTGACTTATGTGTTGACTGGAATTTTGCATGTTTGTGCACACTCTTTGCAGTGTTGGCTGTGGCATTGACTGTAGATGGACTGGTTTGCGGTGCTGTGTGTCCTGAGTCCAGGCAACTAGAAAATGGTGGGTACGCACTGCCAGTTTCAGTTCCTGGACATGACATTGGTAGGACAGCAAAAGATCCAAAAAGCACTTCTGAAAGCCGGTGGACGGACGAAATTCTCTTGCACCATCCGTCCATGCATGGTTCAAAAGATTGAGGCCATTGAGGCATTCAGCCCCGCAGCCCGTACTAAACATTGGCAGCTAGGATTAAAAGCGGCGACGCAATGGAGGATGCTGAATCTGGGATTTAAATAAAACGTGAAAACAACGTAAAACAAACGTGAAAAAAACGTGAAAAAAACGTGAATAAAACGTGAAAAAAACGTGCCCAAAACGTGATGGTAGAAATCGACAAATATGTGTTCTGTAGTAAAACATGAACACAAGGTGAGGCATGGATGCTATGGGGTCCTTATAGTAGAAACTAATTAAAATCAATTCAAAAGGATCGGCAAGGACTGGGTGGAAGTCGTATTTGGAAATATGCAAAGAATCTACCGCATGTATTCAGATTCTGTAGTAACTGTTCTTCAATCATGCTGCTATAGTCTGCACAGCTCGTCAAAACTCAGTATAAATAAAATATACTACACTTGCGATATTCTCAATATTATCAGGAAACTTGTCACAAAGTTCGGTAGGCGACATATTTCTGGCCATGAAGCCTTGGGTCTTGAAACACTCGCACATAGGTTATAACAACTGAAATAATTAAAGCAATGATTCTGTCTGCAAATCTCATACGATGATAATAATGACGCAGTCAAAGCTTCCACCAAGCAGTCATTCATAAAATATCCGATATGAGTCCAACCAGTATCAAGCCCTCAACAGCAGGAGCTCAAAGAGAAGAAACAAGTGTAACAACAGCCACTCGCTCGAAGCCGGCGTCAGTCGATATCCAATGGATTTGTGTAGTGAGTGTTGCCATCAGTCTTGTGACGTGCATCGCTCATGCGACGACGAGCCACGCACTGATGCTCCCCGATATTTCTGCACATGCACTGCCTTCTGGACTCAGCACACAACCGACTAAAACCAGCCCCAGCTGTCCCGGCTTTGGAAATATCGCCAAAACATCGTTCACTCGCGCGCTCGACTCACTGCACCTATCAGATCAGTCACAACCGCTCCCCCGCCTGCCCCGCCCCCACCTCCATCGCTTCCCTCCCTCCCTCCTTCCCTCCCTCTCACCCTGTCAGTGCAAAAAAACTTGTTCTGTGCCTTTCTCTCTCGCTTTGCTTGATTCACAGAAACAAGGCAATGGATACTTGGATCACTGCTTCGACATTAGTTTGGGAAGATAGATACAGATAGGCCCGACATGTTGAAGTGAGCTGTCGTTGCTGCAATGCCGCAGGGCCTAAGGCTGAACACAAGCTCACAAGGGCCCATAATGACACGATGAGAACAACTTGGTAGCAGCACTGAACAGAAAGAGCCTTTTTGTCGCCTCAAAACATTCTCGAGCCCGGAAAACTGCAGTTCGCTGCGCTCGAAGCCGAATGAAGCCACCGGTCACCGCTAAGCCACTAAGCTGAATCTGGGGCTGTCGATCTGCACACTATAAGCTCACAAAATGTCCAGCGACTACAAAGCCAGGGATGGCAAGGCAAGACTTAAACTGTTAACAAAAATACCTAAGCCTAAACCCCCAAACCCTAAACCATGGCTCTAAACTCTAAACCCTGCGCAGAGCTGAGCCCCCGAGCCACTACACATCGCTCAACAAGCCGAGCTAAGAGCTAGGTTAAGCTTAGGCCTTGGAGTCTTAGAGTCTTGGAGACATAGAGTCCTAGAGGTATCGGCAGCCTATTGCTATTGATATTGGCCAGAGGTAAACATGGCAGCTGTCCTAATCGGCTGAGACGTAGCAGCTGACGTAGCAAGCTCAAGCTCGCTGAAGAGAAACTTTAAAAGGATCAGGCCGGTCTCACACTCAGAATCCAAAGGCCCTGCACAACGCGCAGCTCTGAGCTGCACTAGCCCAGGATCCGTCGGCCCTCAGCCAACAGGATCTTCTCCACACGCGTTTCCTCGACGAAGTCACCTGAAATGCGTCCTGTTACTTCTGCAAGAATGGACTTCGCAATGCCCTGGTTGGTGTGCTGGATCGCGTACCACAACAAGGCTTCGGCACCCAAAGCAGCCAGCACCTTGCCATCCTCTGACAAGGCCATGTAGTCGCCGGTCGTCAATGCCATCAACTCGTCTTGCATGCCGAAGTGCTTCAGGTGAGGGCCATACCTGGCGTGCACGGTCTTCATGCCCTGGAGGGCCTCGGCACATGAGGCTACCAGCGGCTACCAGGCACAAGCAGCTACTACCAGCTACCCAGCCCAACTACCCATGGAAGGGTGTGATTTTCCTCCATCCGAAAACGTTGAACGATCAAAGAATAAGCAATTCAAACCCCCTCCAGGTAGCAATAATGTCAGCAACATTAACTGTTGAGACTGCAATAGATTCTGACAGAACAGCGGGTCGGTCACATTAGTTAGGGCATCACACCCACACAGAAGACTGGCGAATCAGGAGCCACTCCCACCCACCCACCCACCCACCCACCCACCCCAGAATCTGTGGGACCGAGGCCGAAGGTAGAGATGCACTTGGATCGAGCTAACTTCTGCTTACACAAGTATATGTCTTTGTCTATATTCCATCCAAAGGTTGACCGTGAGGGCAACATGGATAAGGTGCTAAGGCTTGTGGTCAAAATGCTGCGTGGGAATCACAACACATTCGTCACATACGTGAGCCGGGAACCCAGTTCCTTTAGTCCAAACAGCTATATAAGTGCAGATTTTAGATCCTAGGTCCTAGATACACAAAACAGCCTGCACGTCATCTGCTATCGTTGCGGAGCGGTTTAGCTGCACGCCACGAAAATCACAGAGAATCGGATATCTGCGATGCGACTCTAGACTCTAGACCTGCTGTCAAGCTTAAAGCTTTTTGTAAGTCTTCAAGGCCTAGTCACCAGCCTAGGCGTAGGAAGTTTCGGGCATTTTAGGGTTTAAGTCAAGTTAATAGGTATCTAGTTCTAGGGCCTAGGGCCTAGGGCCTACGGTCGTCACCCGGCTGGGCTACGAAGTTACCTGGTACCGCGTGATATCGAGAATATTGAATAACACAAATTGCGACAAACCGCGCCTTCTCCACGTCCAAGATCTTGTCCCGCAAGGCCGATCCATTCACAGAGCCGAAAGCACTGGCGGCCACGTCCATGACCTGGTCAAGCGAGGGGCTCTCCGGGAGCTTGTCCTTCCACCCTGCAACCGCTGGCCACGGTTTCTCCTTGTGACCCTGGTCCTTGTCCTTGTCCTTGTCTTCCTTGGCTTGGCAAAGCAGCTTCCGGGCCTCCCCCACGTGGGCCCTGCACGTCTCCAGCTGCTTAGAGATCAGGAAGTGCAATCCTTCCTTGATCGCAGCGTGCGGATTATCCATCACGGACCGGGCCATGTCGCAGCAGGAGTGCTCGAGAGCAAGAAGCACCTCCACTGCGGTTGGGGGAGCTTCCGCAGCATCCTCTTTTCCAGCCTCAGCCTCATCCGCGAAGACAGCGCCGGACTTCTTTGCTGCCAGGGCTGCCAAGGAGTCGTTCTCCTTCTGAATCTTGGCCACTCTGATGCGAAGGGAAGCCACTATCTTCAGGACACCATCCAAAGACAGCCGCTCGCTGTCCTTTGCATCCCTGTCTTTGGCGTCACGGCCGATTTCATGGTATCTCCTGCATCCCTGGGCGAGGGATAAGCAATCTTCCAGCAAGTGGGCCTGCCCCAACAGCCACTTCCTGGCAGACTCTGCCATCGGGACTTTCTGGAAGATCGCTTTGGCGGTTGCGGCATCCTTCCGAGCATCTGACGCCAAGCTGGCCCTGCCACTGGAGCATCCAGACTCCACCTGCCCGACGCGGGACATGTGCTAATATGAATGTTTTCTCAAACTGCTCGATTGGAGATTTAAGAATCTAAGAATCTAGAACCGGTAACAGTAATGATGGTATCTCTGACACTATGACTATGATAACTATTCTCACTCTGACTCTGACAATAACACAATGAATCGGATTCACTGCGCTGACACCAGAAAATGCGAAACCTGGGTATTCATCCAAACAGACAGACAGACAGACAGACAGACAGACAGACAGACAGACAGACAGACAGACACACAGCCACACACACACACGTGTTATGTGTATACATATATATATATATATATATATATCTACATATCTACACTACACTATCTACACTCTACACACACACACACATTGGCATATTCATACACACACGCATGCACAGGAACTACTGAACCTAGACCTAGGACCTAGGACCCAGCCCTAGCCCTAGCCCTAGAGGCCCTAGATCCTAGGACCCACCCCACCCCCACATGCACAGGAACAGACATGAAGACAGGCACACACACACACACACACACAGGGACAGACACCACTCGACGAACACATGCATTCATGGACACACAGACACACCAACACAAACACGAACAGTCGCCAACACGCACAGACACACACACAGAGAGAGAGAGAGAGACACACACACACACATACAGAGAAACACGCATGCCCTTATTCAGTGCAACTTGTCGGCGGTTGCCATATTCTTCCGGGACTCAATTAACTAGCTCGCGCTCGCAACGATAACTATGCCGATACTATGCCACGCCACAACTAGGCCCTACACCGTGCTGACATAATAACCCACTACTATAACTGAGTGGCTCCCGACAATCGGGACTCCAGTGACTATTGGTTCCCGGTGTTTATACCTGCCTCAACACGGCCCCTGCCCCGAAAACAGCAACAGCAACCAGCAATTATTGCCAAAATCACCGTCTATGGCATTCTATGGTGAGTCAATGGCAGTCTATGGCTACGGCATGGGCCTTGAGCTGCACTGTCTTCAGAGTGGCCAACAGAAGGGGCTGAAGGTTGATGCCTGCGGCCTCCTCGCCGTCAAGATCCACGGATTGGAGCACTCCCCAAGCAAGCGAAACATCAAATGCGCCGGCCTCGGCATCCGTGGCTGATTGGCACAACTCCTTCAACCTTGCACTCTGCAAAGCTGTCTGATTTGTCGCCTGCCACATCGCAAACTTGTCCAGGGCTTCCGCGTAGCCGTTCACCGGCTTCCCCACGGCTGGGACTTTCGAAGCCAGGTTGAGGAAATCTTCGACCTTCATGCCCGCGATCGACTTCAGGTCGTTTTCTTTTTCAATCGCCTCCAGGAGCAAAGGAATCAAACCCTGGAGCATGGAATCCAGCTCTTGAAGAGCACCCTTGCGGAGGTTGCCCGCCATGTGATGCCTTTTGCCCAACACCTCAAGGACTAGCTTGCAAGCTTGAGCACAATCCATGGGGGCAGACTCCTCGCCCTTGGCATCCTGGACGATCTTGTCCATGTCTGCCACATACTGCCGCATGACTGGGGCAAACTCCTTGACTGCCGAGCTTGCACGCTGCTCTGCATCGAATGCCTCCTGCCAGAAGGAACCCTTCTTGCCAATCGCAGTCTTGATCTCGGCCTCCATGTAGTCGGTGCCCTCATACTTGGACAGCACGAAAGCATCGCGGAAAGTGCAGTCCATGTAATTCGGGAGTGGAGCAGCCAAGCAGCAAATGCATTTGCAGAAAGCTGTGACTCGGTCAATGCTGCCCTGCATCACACTTGGAAAGTCCTCCGGGATGCAGGGCACCTGCACATTGAGGGCTGTCAGCATGGAAGAGCACACATCCAAGAGTCGTGAGTAGCTGGATGTGGCCGTCGCAGGGATCAATCCCAGCAGCGTGTCGTTGGCGAAGGCATCCACCCATCCAGCTGCCACTGCCTTCACGGTGAAAACATAGAAAGGAAACTAGCAGCTAGCACAGATTGGTCATGGGGCCATGGTCCATGGCTTTGAAACAGGTCGCTGCCTATACCCAATTATACTAGCTACTAGAATTACGAGAGTCTCACCAAGACAACAGAGAGGAGTGAGTCCAACTTTGGTTGAATGAACAGTGCAACACTATGGCGCTACAGATGACATCTGGCAAGTTGATGACTGAACGAACTACTTCATGCAGCCGGGCGAGAATTGCATTAACTATACCAATACAACACTTTTACTATGACTACGACGACTGTGACTACGAACCAAAAGCCGTACACTATACACTGTGCGTGGAACGACTCTGTTGCAATGCCTGCTACAGAACTTCTCCCTAGCGGCGCTACGCTAGCGGCTTTACCAGTCATTGCTTGTACCATAGACATACACTAGAGTCTAGAGTCTAGAGTCACTAGAGCTACCAGCTAGCAGCTAGCAGCCAGCAGCTACCTACCAGCCCTACCTACCCGCCTACCACCACCCACTGCTTTACTCACCTCCCAACCATATTGCCATATTGAAGTCAGCTACAGTTACAACTACTGACTACTGACTGCTGATCATGAGAAAGAAACAGGCCCGGCCTCCCAGCGACTCTCGATCTCAGCTTCCACTTCCGTTGCCTGCTCATTCCCCTTCGCAGTACCCAAGTCTCGAGCTTCCCGGCTCCGACGCTCATCATCTCCTGCCAGCTGCATCGCTTCGCTCACGACGTGTGCGAAGCTGGGCTTCATGAAGCTCCACTCATCGTCCAAAGTGCCCTTGCAAAGAATGAGCATCGAGACAATGGCTTGCAGCTTCGCACTGACAGCGGCACCATCTGTCAGTGCCACGCAACCCTTCATAGCCTCGGAAACTTCTGCAACTGTGACCTTCAGCTTGATCGACAGAGGCACGGTGGAGCCGGTGGCGGCAATCAGTGCATACTTGGACACCCTGTCCTGGGAGGGCAAGCTCAGAAGATCGCCAGTCCCTGCCAAAAGCTGTGCTGCTTGCACAGCTGCAATTCTCCGGGAAAGGCTGCGGCCTTCTTTCGACGTGTCCCCCAACTTCTCCAGCAGACGCGTGGCCTCTTTCCCAAACACAAGATGATCGTAGTGCACTGAGTTCTGGCAAACTAGTAACTAGAAGCCCTAGGCCCTAGGCTGCACTTTCCCAAAGAGAAAGAAAGATTGCAAGATTGTAAGCAAGATGTACACTACAGTTTCGATACGAAACATACAATGAACATCACAATTTCCAACAATGGAATGTGGGACACTTGACCTCGAATTATGTTCTGCACAGACCACTGCAGTGGCCCTAAAACTCACAGGCCTGCCTTACGTAAGCAACTCCTCGGCCAAAATCTGAATACTGAATGCGTATGATTCCTAGTCACAGGTCCTAGTCCTAGTCAGACTCCTATGTCCTACGTCCTAGATGCCTATTCATCAAACATCCATGACTGTTCATTCTTCATCGCTGGGCAAAGTGGGGAAGCACACCTTGCCATAGCCATAAATCAAACTCCATAATCTAAATCAACTTGCAATCAAGGTTTAAGAGTTTCGGAGGGAAGTCTGAAAAGCTCAGGTGACTCTCTGACTCCGCAAGGTACGAAGAAGTGGAGAATGCCATACACTACACAGACTATGTATGGAAGTGCACCATGAAATTCTATTCACTAACAGCAGCACTAACACATTAACAAACACCAGAAACTCTGCTGTAAACTGCAAACCACATTGGCAGCGGCTTACTCGGCTTACTGACATGAACTCTCTGAGTCTCTGAGCCACCGGCGCCGGTGCATTGGTTGCCCATCTTGGCACCTTCTAGAGCCCGGCCAACGGTGAGGTTGGTCAGACTCTCCGGAACAAAGCCAAGTTTGAGGGCCACCTTGCAAAGCTCGGGATCGTGGTTGAAGGCAGTCTTGATTTCTTCCTGCGACTGAGATTGGACCTCATCCGCATTGCGTGCGCTGCCCGTGCTCCTCCTTGGTGCTGGGGAATCCGCCCCCCTCAAACTGGCCTGTTGCTTCTTCCTCTTCCTGGTGGCAACGCCTGCTTCTTTGTCGACGGTAGTCGTTCCCAGCCCGGACGACAAACTTCCCTTCATCCGCGGCTCGTCCTCCTCCTCTTGGATCTCGACAGCATTGGCATCATCAACCTCGAGCTCGAGCTTGGCGGCAAGCTCCTCATCCTTCTTCTTGCGCTTCTCCTCAAGATCGAAAGCCTTCCTGCGCAAGGCAGTCATGGTCGGCATACTTGCCAGAAGCTCCAAAGGATTGGAGGCGGATCGGTCCGGCATCCTTGCGGCCACTCCTGGCAGCACATCAGCCCCTTGGGCCAAACGTAGCTGTCGGCTCGGTTGCAGGATCTCCTTCTCGTGCTGCGCATGGAACTTGAGCTCCCACTTGATTCGCCGAAGCCCGAGAAGGTCCCTCTCTCTGATGTCCTCCGGGAGGTCGTCAAAGCGAACATAGAAGCCGGCGACTACTCGCCGACCACACTCACTCAACCGGTTGACCTTGTCGAGCTTCAAAGCATTCGAAGTCGCACCAATCAACTTCACTAGTTGGTTCTCGGTGAGGAACAAGCATTCAACCGTCATCGACTCAGAGATCGACTGCACTGCCTTCACCGAGGATGGCGGATCGAAATACTCCAACTCTTCGTCGGCGTCAAGCCGGGCCAGTCTCTCACAGCTCCTGTCGACGTCTCTCACAAACCCTTTGTTGGCTTTGTCGTTGGAGTTGTAGCGCTCCATTGCCTCAATCCAATCGATGTCGAACCCTGCCGTCACAGCCGTGAAGCAGATGCGGCAAGCATCGTCTCGGCCGACCATGACAACAAAGCCCCTGTCCTGAAGACACGTGAATCAATCAATGGGAAAGAATAATCAGCAAACTCCGGGTCGATGAATCGCAATCCTGGCCTTTGGCCACTGTAGCCCGAAAAAGGATTCATGGCTATAGCTCGCAAGGATTGGTGACTTCATGCTGTTCGCAGCTCAGGTCTAGAGTCTAGACTCTCTAGACTACTTGCCAGGAGGTCCATAAAGCCAGCTGTTATTCCTGGGGCTTGAGGGAAAGACAAGGCCCTCTGAAGCAATCCAAGCAGGACCCTTGACCTTTTCTCACCCTGCAACACCTAGACCTGTGACCTAGACTCAGACCTAGACGTGTATTCACCACACTGACTCCGCACTGGGCAAGAATTCTGTGCAACACAATCACAAACACCGAGGTCCTTCGAAGTTTTCTTGCAGCGCAGGCATACGATCACGGCACTACCGGACGACGGGGCTGAGCTGCCTCGGGATGGCCGACTCTGAGCTTCCCCCGGCTCGACTTTGACCTGCCAAGAGAGCTGCAACATCATAAAACGAGCCCCTAAGTTAAGTCAATTGAGTTTGTGTCTATTGAGTCTAGTACTCTACCTTCTACATTCTACATTCAACATATCCTACAGTCTCTGCAGAGCGCACCTTCTTGAGAGGAGGACCCATGGCCAAGGGCAGGCCAAGGAAACGCTGGAGCAGAAGATGCTATGGCTGCTATGGAATCCAACAAAGTCCATAAAGCATGGAATGTTCGGTGTTTGCCTTACTGAAGCAACTTGAGCGATGGATGTCGACGCAATAAATCTTTCAAGCCGATGCTTTAGCAGCGTCGCCAAATGCACTGGTCAGGTACTGCGTTCTCCTTCCGCAGGAGAGCATCTAGGGAATCTAGCTAGCAGCCTCGAATTGGCACGCTGCCCGAGCTGCAAGAAGACGAACCGACACATGTCCGGGTCTAACCTCTAGAGACTTACAGCCTACCTGCCATTACCGAGCGCACCGAGTCAGCCTGTTCCACATCTGCAAACTTGAAGTTGAAGCCGAAACTTTTGGAGTCATCTAGGAATCTAGGACCTAACCTGTGAGGAAGACAGCAATGGGTCGCACAAAACCATTGCCTTGCATCTGGAATTCTAGACTCTAGACTCAAGGACCCTAGGACTCTAGGTTCTACACTCCAGATACACTATTCTGTGCATTTGCTCCGAAGACTCTCCGAAGTGCTTGCAACACAGAGGTTCTGATGTTCGACACAGCAGCTGGACGCCTGCTGTTGGATATGAAGCTGTTGGATGTAGCTGTGCCTCGGGCCTGGAATTACGACAGCCATTGACTACACAAAACTAGATCAAGAATCAAGAAAAGACACAGTGGATGAGTAGATTGCCTAGTTTGACTAGTTGAGATTAGACAAGAATGTTTAAATGACTAGACTAGAATAGACTCACCTGAACATATGTGTAAGGCTGGCCCAAACCGGAATTAAATTTGTAGTATCCGTTGTTACTATCCGACTATCCAAGTCTGCAACCTATCGGACCTATCTAGATTCTAGATACTAGATTACTAGATTTTGGGACTTTGGGGCTCAAGAAACCTCCTGCGTGGAAATCGCCCTCTGCATGCAAGCTACGGCAGCTGCGGTCGGAAGTCTATGACCTCAGCCCCTGTGCGCAGGGCAACACATATCTACGTTAGTTATTTCTGCGACGAATTGTGGCACCGCTGCCATGCTCAGCCTCACCAGTCACCGAACCGCTGCAATCTCATCCTAGCCCTAGACCCTAGTCACTAGTCATTAGTCACTACTCACTAGTCCTCAGCCTTTGTAGAAAATCTCGGAGAAGCCTGCCCGACAATCACTACAAACGTGTCCTAGCCCCAGTCCTGATCCTAGTCATAGTCACCCTCGGCCCCAGGCCAAACAGTAGCCACACTAGCAGGCAGCTAGCTAGCAGCTACACTGCTACACAACAAGCTAGTCACTACTAGGCTAGACTCACTAGACACTATGCAATAGTTAATGTAATTAATCACTAGTCGCTAGTCTCACTGGTCACTAGTCACTAGTCACTAGTCAGGGTCATTAGTTACAGTTACGACACAAGCCGAACATCATTAAGTCATTAAGTCATTGAGCCACTGAGCCTGACAATGGTTCCTGCTGGCGCCATAAGCCCTAGGCCCTAGGCCATAGTCCTTGCCCCGGACTCCGGTGAGTCTCCACAACTCTAGACTCTAGACATAATAACAGACACAAGTTAATACAATATAGTAGAATACAGAAGAAGAACAACCATTCCAAGAACTTCAGAGCCTCGTACTACTGTCTAGCCTAGCCGGGCCTAGCCACTAGTCTAGTCACTAGTCCAAAGATCGAAACATGGAGATCAGGTTTCCAAGTTTGAAAGCCCCGACATAAGAGCCCCGGCCCCAGAATCCAAAGGCCCAAAGGCAATGACACAGCGCTGCTGGCCACTAGTGACTACATGAGTCACTAGTCACTAGTCCAGCATCTCCAACACCAGCATGAGGAGGCACACTGCTTGCTGGCCGGAGTGGCTCAACCGCACAAGCAATGACCACTGCGCTACACAGTCATTACAGCGATTGACCACAACATGTAGCTTCATTACCACGTCGTAGACCTAAAGTGGCCCTAACAGCCCTAGCCCTAACACACCCAAAACGTCCAAACTACAATGAAACTACAACCCTCAAGCTACCAAAAACTTAGGGACTTAGGGACAGGATGAGTGGACAGCCAAGCAGGGGTACGGGGTAGCTACGTGGGTATTCGGTTTTAGGCCAAGCTAACACCCAAACAACCTATTAACCGATTAACCAGAAATGCCTTAAGCCCTAAGCCACAAACCAGCAAGGGTTGCCACGCTTCCCGATGCAGTAGCAGCTGGGGATACTGCCCACTATAGTCACTATTGCCAAAAAACAAAGCACTGCAACAAGTCTTGATAGAAGATAAAGTATATGGCACATGCAGAGACTTTGACATAAAATGACATAAAGTATAGAAATCTTCTGCTCCAAAAGACAACGACCTCATAGTCGTAGCAGCCATTAAATCGACTGACACTGGGGTAGCCAGCAGGTGACAGTGATGCTGCGGGTGACATCCGCCTAGGACCCAAATTAATTACTGCTCTTGCTATGTCCTAGGTCCTAGGCCCCCTAGGCCCCTAGGCTGTGGCTCAAGGCCCCAAGGCTCAACTACCTACTTCCTTAGTTGGCTTACTTAGGCTTACTTGCCACCCATCTCCGGAGGAGCTTCGAAATCTCTCCGGCGCATCACCTGAAAACTCCAGAACATCATGCCCAGGCACGGCAAACTGATTGTGTTTCCGGCCAGTCGCTTGAGCTGGCGGTTCGTGAAATCCTCGGGAATGATCAAATCTTGGGGGAACCCGAGAATTGCAAGCATTTCGATTCCAAGGATCACCCTATCCTCTCTGTATGAATACAGCTCCGAAGAAGTTGTGAAACAAGGGTGCACACCCGATTGCTTTGTGCAAGTGCCTCTTGTGATAGACTGAGAGGCATCAAGAACTGTGCTCATAAGAATTTGATGTGTGTTCTTGGCTTTCCTGGACAGGATTTTTGCTGCTGTAACATCCAGCGCATCCTGCACCCGAGCAGTCAAGCTCAATCCCAACCCCTGGAAACTCGCCTTGCCTGTCCAGATTTTCGATCCAACTGATATACCCAAAGATTCACGAAGCTGCGCAGAGTGCAGCTGCCACTCCAGGTCTGCTGCGGCCTTCCCAGCAGGAGCCATCGACTTTCGCCGGTCATCCTGGGGTGAGGGATGTGCTAGATTTCCGATTGCAACACACAATCTAGGACCTGGCTCGGGCTTTTGTTGGGATGTGTGGGTGTTGGTTTTGGCTTTGTCAGGTCTGAACCGAGACCGAGTTTGAAGGTTGTTTGGTAGGATTAGAACCAAAGCATCGGCTTGGAATTTTGATAAGCTGTTCAAGAACTAACACGCATAAGGATCTAGGAATCTAGGATCTAGGATCGTGGGAGTTTGGCTTTAGGTCGTATACTAGGACCTAAGGACCTAAGATCTTGGCCCATTAGGGGGTCGGGCCTGGGCCTGGGGTCCTGGGGTAGGGCTTTCGGGTGTAGGAATCCGGTCCCCGGTGGCTCAGAATCTGGGCACGTTTTTGGCACGTTTTTGGCACGTTTTTTTCACGTTTTTTTCACGTTTTTTTTACGTTTTTTTCACGTTTTCCTTAGGAAAACGCACATTTCGGCCCCCCGCCCCTCAACATACGAAAACGTGAAAAAAACGTGAAAAAAACGTGCCCAAAACGTGCCCACAGCAGCCCCCCCACCCTTCCCCATTACGAATGTACGTTCAGGTTGAGGAAGGGTCACCCGCGGCCCCCCCGCCCCCCCCCCCCAGACCCCATCAAAATTCCTCAAAACAATGGGACCAAAGCCTTTAAGCCTAAAAATCCCTGAACCGAACACCAACAAGAGCCTGCAACAGCAGTGCAACCAAGGAGCAGCAACAGCCTTGTCCATCCATTTGCGAAACACAGGTGAATCCTACAGCAAGCATGGCAACAGGCACATCAACTGAAACAAGACATGGCTAGGGTGCTTCGAGGGATTCTAGGGCCTAGGGCTCTACTCGGGCTTGGGGTTTTCGGCTTTCACAGTGGCGGCAACAGTTGCAACGCTCCAAGCTGCATGTCCTTCGGAAGCAGGAAGTCCAGCATTTCTTTCGGGGTCTCGGCCTGCACATTCCCAATCATCTCCTGAAGCCAAAATGGGTCATGTGCAAAATTGCTGAATGTATAAATATGCTAAGCCTGCTAAGCTTCGACAGGCAAGCCTTGGGCTAAAGGCCAACAAGCACAGCTCCTTTGCAAGCAGGTGAACCTACGGGAATTTATCGGCCACAAGCAGAGCGCAGTATTCAAGAAACTTTCTACACGATTCTACCTGATTCTACCCGACACCTGCCTCAACCAGAACGATCCAATGCTACCCGCTACACAAGCTCACTAGCTGCTACACCGAACTGCGGAAACAGCCAAGGCTTAAGCCAGAGCCTGAGCCCACGAACAACCAGCAAGGTCCTTCAAGATGTACTTCCAAGCTGCAGCATCTTTCGAAGTGTAGATGTCCTTCCGCAGGAAGCCAACGAAGATCCTGGACACAGGCGGTCTGTCACGGTGACAGGGTCAGGCAGGAAGCATGGAAAGGGCTTGCGATGGGGTTCAAGGCTCAGTTTTTAGGACCTGGAGACTTTAGGGGTTCTGGGACCTGAGCATTAAAGTTTGGTTCCGAGAATGCCCTAGAATCGGCCCTAGAAAGGCCTTGGGTTCATTTTTGCATTACGTCATGTAAGGCAATTAAGGATGTCATGTAGGGCAATGTAGGGCCGGCAGGATAAACTGGGCAGGAGTCAGTGGAAGGGCTACACATTGGGCGGTGTGTTCGGGCCACTTCGGGTTAAGTCGACAGAAGTGACTCAAGTTCTGAAGCGCCAGAAATCCACAAGCAATGTCCCGAAATCCCTTAGTCCACCAGGGTGACCAGAGCCTAAGTCTTCAGGGTTTGTGGTCTTGGGTCTAGCTTTTCGGCTCTCTATTTTTGAGTCTAAGTCTAAGACTAAGAGCCTAAAACCGATAAGGCTATGGCATAGATAAGACCTGGGACCTAGGACCTAGAATCTCGGGCCTCATTGCTTCGCAGCCAGAGTTACGGGGTTTATGGACTGTTTCAAAGCCTTGGGAGACTTGGACTTTGTTTGACAAGGTGAGCGTGTGTTCAACTCTGTGTTCAACTTAAGGTGACCGAGGGCGGTCACCTTGGGTTACATGTGTTCAGGCAGAGAGAAAGAGAGAGCAGGTAACTAACAAGTCATCTCTACATACACACATCTCTCAACCCTAAACTTGCCCTAAACCCCTAAACCGAAAATGAGCTAGTGATTGGCAGACTAACAGCAGCAATGATTTGTGTGACTAGTGACTAGTGACTAGGCCTTGGCAAAACAACTGACTCGTGACGAGCCAAACGAAAATGACAAGAAACACTTGGATCTTGTCTTAGCAGAACACTTCATTAGAATAGAAATCAAGTAATAGAGATTCAATAGAGTCTAGTCGAGCCTAGAATGGCGCAGCCAACAGGGCCAAGGGCCAAGAGGCAAATGTCGAAGAACCACACCCCAGGTCCCAGACCCGAGCTAAGCCGCTATTCCAGCATCATGTAAAAGTTTCCCTATTATCACAAGGTCCGAAGCCCACGGAATGTTCAACGCCTGAAGATTGGCAGCTCTCTGTCCAAAAGCCTCAGGACCCTACCTACAGCCCGAACCCCCCTAACCCCTAGCCGCCCTAGCCCTAGCCCCAACCCAAAACCTTGGGCAGGAAGGAAATGGAACCGAGTTGCGAACAGTTTTCACGTGGGCCCTGCATCCCTCGAGTCGTTTGAGGTTGGGTTGGGCACCGGCTTCGAAGCACATCGTCGCATGGAAATGGCCATCGAGCCATCGAGCTGAAGCTGCTTCACTGAAGCTTTCACATCTTCAAGCACTCCAAGGCTCCAAGGTAGCTGGGATATGTTTGCAGTCTAGCTGCCTAGCTTCTGACGCATGCTGGCTTTGGCGCTCTAGGACTCTAGGACTCTAGGACTCTAGGACTCCAGGTACAGTTACAGGGATATGTTCAAATCGAAAAATCCGAAACCGGCAAATAAGAAGTCAAGCACAATGTGAGCCCTGCACGACCCCAATGCCCTATGCCCATGCTACACCCATGTACCATAGACCCTGAATATGTGATGCAGAACCTGGTACCCTGTACTCCCAGATTTGGAGCCATGAAGAAATTGCACAGATTTCCATCATGAGCTGGCAAAACGCGAAAGAAGGCGAGCTTAGCTCACCACCCGGGGTTCGTCGGACTCCCCAGGTGCTCTGGCACGCTCGTGCCTTGCAAAGTGCAAAGCTCCTGGCAAGGCAAGGAAACTAATCCGAGCCGCTCTCCGGCTCTCATAGTCCAAGTGAACTGTCGATCCGTGAACATGCTGCTCGGCATCCGAAAAATTCTTTGCGTCCTTCAACCAAGCCAACAGCTGCCCGAGTGGGCGGCCTTGACCTGGCCTGCTTGAACGAGTGCTGGGCGCTTTGCAAGTTCTGTTCCTTTTGCAGCCTTCCCCATGCTGAGAACAGAAAGCCGTGTAGGTCTGCGATCGAGGATTGTAGCGTATGGAGCCAAGACGCCACACTGGAAAGCTTTCTTCCTTCACCGTCTTGACTCGGCTGCTGGCATCTGCAGGACCATCCCTGGGCTCCGGCGCACTAGGCAAGTGCACAGCAGCAGGCTCGGCAGGGCCAAGATCCTCAGCGCTTGCCAAAGCTTCCACAGCAGTTCGTAGATCACGCAGAGCAGAACCAGGCCCACCGACAGAAGATGATGGCTCTGGTTCCACTTCAGGAGGCTGGGCAGCCTCACCGGCCTCACCTTCATCATCTGCACATTCTGCGAAAGCCTCGGCAGCATCTGCCAGTATCTCCCAATCAGCCTCAGACTCGTTGTCTTCGTCATCTGCACCAGCATCAACGGCATCCAGAAGTGGGGGGTCATTGCCGTCAGCATCTTCTTGGCCTGCAGCAACCGCAGCAGCATACTCGGCTGGGCCCTTGCGACTCTTGCGGACCTGGAGACATTGAGGAGGGATGGGAAGATATTGGAAAGTTTCGGGCCTGGCCTGAAGCACCTCGGGCCTCGACCTAGAGGACCCAGCGACCTAGCTCTGGGATTTGCTTCAGCCAACTTTAGAGATTCTAGTCTAGGGTCTAGAGTTTGAGTCTAGTCTAGGGCCTAGGGCTCTGCTCTCCAACTTAATTGGTAAGAACGTAGGACGTAGGGACGTAGGGCTCAGGCTTGGGCCTTCGGCCAGAAGGCTTCAAGCAGCTTGGCTGCAGGTTTAAGTTCAAGTCGGTTCAGGCCCCAGGCTTTTGGCTTTCCCATGTCCGGCACCTGAGGCTTGCAACCACCCGATCCACCCGGCGGGCCGCCAGGATCGTGCCCTCCGCCACCGCCGCTGCGCCTCGGAGCAGAGCGTTTCCTCCTCAGCTCTTCTTCTGCTTGGCCTTGCCAGATTGTAAAAACAGGAAGCAACTCTGGATTGAGCGGCAGGACCTCCAAAACATCAGGCACGAAATCATCCTTGTCAAGCATCTTCTGTCTGTTGTCCAGCTGCCACCACACCGCCCTCCAGCGTTTCTGGAAATCCACAAGGTCAGCCAAAGCCATGCGCGACCGACTGACATGCAAGCTCTCATCGGGAACATGCAAGAAAACCTTCTGCAGGACACCGTCGCTGTCGCATTCCTCATCCAAGAATTCCAAAACCAGGAAAGTGAAGTCATACACTTTGAAGTTGGCATAGCCCACGAAGAACCAAAGCGACTCAGAAGTAGAGCCCCATTCGGTGCTTGAAGCAGTCGCCATCGCCTCAAACTGTGCCTCCAGCGCAGCCCATCCAGTCAAGACTTCTCCAGAACTCGGCGCCTGGCTTGCCTGGCGCTTGGGCCGCAGTTCCAGGATCAGCTCGGACTGCTCCATCATCAAGCGTGCCTTGCTTTTCTTACCCTTGGCTGGCCGAGCACCTGCCTCAGGAGCGGTCCCAACAGCTTTGTCGCGAATCAAACGAAGGAAAGGTCGGACAGCATCGACCAGATTCGAATGACACATATGTGCCAGTTGACCAATGCCGGAGCAGATGCACATGCCGTGCTGCAGGCATGGACTGCGGTTGAATGGAGTCGCAAGCATGCGGGAACCCTTCTGGCTCGGTACCAGTTTATGGCAGCAGGACCAGTCCTTTTCCAAGCGCTGCATCACCTTGTGTGGCCGACCATTAAGATCGGCATTTCTGATGAGGCTGGCCTTAGTGCATAAACTGACCGAAACCTTTTTGCGATATCAAATTAAGTTGAACCCTGCAAGCCGAACAAGTCCAAAAAACATTCTAAAACTCAGTCAAAGACCTTGGCTAGCTCGGCCGCAGGATTTAGCCAGCGACCAGTCGGGAAGCTGTCCGCTTCGGGAATATACTGGCAGGATGCAAAAGGAACACCCATGCCAAAGAGGTCTGCAATCAAAGCCGTCTTGTTGTTCGCCTCCAGATCCTGAGCCACGAAAGCTGCCACATGGCCCTGTTGCAAAGCTTCTTTGTCGTCGTGCTGCCGGGCTATGCCTGCAGCATCTTCCGTCGCATGTTTGCGCATGTCCAAAGCTTTGTTGCAGAGTTTACCCCAGTCGGTATCCTCAGGCTGCACAAGTCGCACAGCGAGTTCAGAGCCTTCCGCAGCAACAGCACTGCTGTCTTGGATTTGCTTTCTCCGACGCTTCCTAGGCTTTGGTTCTGCTGCACTCAGAAAGGCTTTCGACCCGGCCCTGGCACTGTCCAATCCTGCCTGGCCAAGATCCGTGTACGTCTGCTTCTCGGCAGATGTCATACGCTTGAAGGCTGCATTGACTCGGCGGAAAAGCGCTCGTCTGTTCTTCCAGTCTTGTGGAGAAGCCTTCGGCAGCTCCCGGTGCAGGTAAGCTCGCTGAGCTCCACCCTGTGGAGGTTTGATGATTCTCTTGCGTTGCTTTCTTTTCAAAGCAATTGCACGACGCTTGGCCTTGGCAGCCCGGGCATGCTTCTTGGCGGCTTGCCTTCTCATCTCTCGCTGTTGCTGGAACTCGCAAAAAGCACTTTCATCTGGCGCAGGATGATCCTTATAGAAGGCCAACCTATCCAGCACCTCGGCATCCTCAGATTGTGCTTTAGCAACCTGTCGCACCAAGAAGTCTGCGCTGAGGGTCTCGAGAAGTGAGTCCCAGGTTGTGCTTTTGGCAGTCAACAGCTTTCGCACTTGCGCATGCCGGCACTCAATTTCTGCAACATCCACCGAGACACAAGCTGCAATGGTATGAACCATGGCACGGCAAATGTCTGATCGCAGATCTGTTGCAGTGGGAAAAGTATCCACAAACCACTGCGACAGGATGTCCAGTTGGCAGGGCTTTAATCTGAGCAGAGACCTTGCAATCTCGGATGTCTGGGATGGGCCAGCAAGAAGCCCAAACAATAAGTATGGGCACTGCTGGCGGATCGCACCCAGATTGTGCTCCAAAGCACAGATCAATCTGCCCAACAAACCTTTGCTGCTGCGCTCTGCTGAAGCTCAAAGAACCATTGTAATATTGCTACAAATGCAAATGGTTGCGCAGTGCAGTTGATAGCCTAGTGGCCTAGTAGTATACGAATAATTAGACTTGCATAGAAAATACTCAGAGTCTAGTCTAGTCTAGTCTAGTCTAGACCCCCATAACGATCCTAAGGGGACTTTGTAGAACATCGACCCCAAAAAAACTAAAACGAACATGCGCTGCTTGAACTTCTTGGACATATTACCTTCCAAGACCTTTTAAAACCCGACATCGGCCTACCTAGCATCGAAGCTTTCATAAATGGATTGTCAATCCTAATGCGAGAGGGCGGCAGGGCCTCAACAGGCATTATTTTGAATTTATTTGTAACCTCTATCTAAACCTGAATCCCATCGGATACCTGCCTACACCAACTTCAAAGGGAAGGTGGTTCGAGAACCAACCCAGAGCTGGGGAACAAGAGAGGCCTAGCCTAGGCTCTAGGTCTAGGTCTTAGGGGCCTAGACTCTAGGGAAGCCTTCTGAGAACCGTCTCGTAATTTATCTTGTGCGGGGACTACGCCAGCGTAGGCCAGGCATACTTACTATGCCATTACTACGCACACATACAATATACAATAATATACAAGATTTGCTCAATGTCTGAGTGGCACCGTGAATAATCCAACAGCCTAGTTACCTAGACCTAGACCTAGTTACCTAGTTCGTTAACCCCCCCCGGCCCAAAGCGCCAAGTGTCGAAAAAGCAGGTTCTTGTTGGCCTGTGTCAAAGCAGCCCGAGCAAGAGCCGGCACACCTGAATGGAAAACCTTCTCCACACGATGCTTTGCCTCAGTAAAACCTTGGCCAAAAAAGACTTCTGTCAGCTTGTATGAGCGCTCCTGGCCCTGGCACAAAGACCATTCTTGGTGGTGTCGCCACTTGTCCGAAGAAATATGCAAATACAGAAACAGCAGGTCCACAACAGGGTTGAGAGCCGTCCGTAAAACCGCGAACACGTTCAGATCAGCACTTGAAATCCATGCCCGCACCTTGGCCTTGGCAGCTGTATTGAGATCTGCCAATCGTGTTTCTACATCGTTGCTCCAAGCACTGCTTCCAGCAAGAGCGTTCGCTGCTTGTGCAGCTTCCATGGTTTCTCTCTGCCCATGTCGACTGAGCATGTCGGCTGCCAAAGCCTGCCATCCTTCATGCACATCCGACTCCTCATCAGCGAGAGCCAAGGAGGGATCAGCAATCGGAGAGGTCATTCCGATTGGCCCCAGCATTCGAAGCAGCACTGCTTTGAATAGTCCGTGGTGCGATTGTAAAAGACCGCACCAGTCTATTGACAACTCTCCACCGTACCATCTGTGCCGAGGAAACAGCCGCAGTCCCTCCGGCACGAGCGCAGGAATGATGAACCTGCGTACCAGCCACATAGCCTGCTGCGGATCTACTATGTGACCGTGGGTGCAAAGTGTCACGTGGCTCTCATCTTGTATATCCATGGCCAAGAAGTAGTTCAAAACTTTCCTCTGCACAAGTCGCTTCCTCCTGTTCAATCGTTTGTCACTGGATCTGGCCAAGTTCAAAGACAAATACAAGTTGTACACAGCAAGCCTGTAGTCCTCCATCTCACCTCCTGGAATGTCACCTACATGTATCTGGAGGCGGGCTTCAATTTCGTCTGCCAGTATTTGCCGAAATTTGGACAAAGTCCCGGCACTGCCCAACACCAGGGCAGTCGAAATCATGCCTGTAATCGTTTCGGAAACCGGCGCCATTTGCCAGGTCATGGCTCGGCTCGTGTCATGAATTTGACAAGGAAAACGACTGGGAATGTCTTGAGGCATCTGTGTGTGAAGCAGCTCCTCAGCGCGAAGATTGCCGGAATATCTATCCGCTGTGGCAATGTTCACACGAACATCGCAGTCGGCCCCAAGAGCCTCCAACTTTTCCAAACCTCTGTGCAAATCCAATTGTGCCTTAGCCAAATCCTCCCCTGTGGTGGTCTCTAAGGCTTGTAATGGCACATGCAACACTCCATGGTGACAAGAAAGTTGACCGGAAGGGACATGTTCAACTAGCATGCCAATTTTGAACCTCGTCTGAAGAACTTTGGCCAAACAGCTATCTGCTCTCTGCAAACCGCGAGAATCGTCCTGGGCAGGTGCCACACGGACCCGCACCGGTGTTTCATCGTAGATGCGGTGACGAAGCAGAAGTCTCAGCTTCACAGTGCCCTCAACCAATTTGCTCTTCAGCATCCCGGAATGCAATGCCCACGCAGCTGAGCTGCACAAATGTGTTGCCGAAGCCAACACAGTCAAGTTTCGGCTGAAGTTTCGACTGGGGATGCCCAAAGCTTCTGCATCTGCATTCAGGGCAGTCTGTGGCCGCGGGCCTGAATCCAATACCCTTGCGAAGAAATCCTGCAGGTCTGTTGATGCGACATTATCATCTTCCATGCCAAACTCGTCTGTTCTTCTCTCTGACTGCGACTCAGATGCACCTGCAGACTGTTGCGCGCACGATAGCTCTTCCGACGCAAGCTGAAGCAAGGAAACTTGTAGACCCGCAGATGATCCAGGAGCCACCAACCCCAGAAGATGCTGAGGCACTGGGGTGCCCACAGAAGATTGCTGCACAGCAAGCTCCAAGGCAACCGGTCTGCCTATGTTTGCATCCAAGTCGGTTGCTGCTTCAGCATCGGCAACTGTTAGATCTACAGTGTCAGCATCCTCAGCCATTTCTTCCAACACTCTACGAGACTCCTTCCGAAGAATGTGGCTGCCTGTCTTGCCAGCCCGCCTGGCTTGCAAGCGCATCCGCTTTTGCTTGCGCAGCGAATCTCCCACCAACAGCTCTTCTGCCGGAGCTTCAGCATCTGCAGCTTCAACTTCCCCAGCATTTGAGCTCTGCGAGTCAGATATCCACATGACACACAAAGGAACTCAAAGCCATGAAGCAAGACTCGACAAACTGTCACGTTCGGCTCAAGCGACTCAAATGAAGGTGCACTCTCGACCGCCTCTTGCTACCTTGCCACATCCTTGTTTGAGGAGGCTAGATAAGGAGTTAAGTGACCAAGATCTATCTATTTACACTCTCTGTTCGACCTTATGACTCAAGACACAACTCTATGACTATGACTATGACCCAAGGCCCAAGGCCTAAATTGGCTTCAATGCGACCCGAAGCGCCGAAGCTGTCAGCTATATGCAGACCCAACACTGCATGAATCATGAAACGAGCCGATTCGCTGCACAGACCACTCGCACACCTGCAAAAAGCCTGAGGACCAAACAACACAATGTGTGACCTGACATATATGCGATCAAGCCTTAATTCCAACTTCGCGAACCTGGCTGCCTAGCTGCCTGGCTCCGGGACTTCAAGAATAAGCACTGCAATGCTTCAGGCAGCCACTGAATTACTGGATGAATGTACACTGAGTCTGAATCTACACGCCACGTCGATGCCTCGAATCTATGCCATCTATGCTTTATGCAACTTTATGTGTCCAGAGTCTAGACTAGAGTCTAGACTCAACTCCATGACACTCCGACTTTATGCCTACGCCTGTCCAATGAGTCCAATGTCGAAGCTACCGGCAGCTACCGCAGCTACCAGGCAACAGAAGGCACAGAAACACACATATCCCAGTTCACTCGGAACACGAACAACACCCTAAGTACCATATACCACCTGGACTGACCCACCTGTACTGAGCAGTGACCTCGGACCTAGAGGATCTACACCGCTACACTACACCCGCCCTACTCAGCCTTACTGGCACACCCACGGACTGTCCTGGGCCGCGACACATTGACCCACCATCTATGGTCCATCTCCACAACAATGAAGTGGTAGCCGGCTTGGCCACTCTCGGCAGTGGCGTCTTGCACGCTCTCCAAGAACCTGGCCAAAGTTACTAGTTTGAAGTTATAATTACGAATTAATAGATATCAGAACCCTAAGTTCTCCTAAATCTCAGAACTTGGGAGTTCAGCTTCAGAGTCGTGGCAAGGCTTGTTGGGAGTCGGTGAAAAGCAAGTGTAGTGTATGGGCAAAATGGAATATAAGTAGACCTGCTAGGCCAGGCACTACTGTCTGTGAGCCTTGAACCGTAGGGGCTGAGCTTTTGGGCTAGGACTAGGACCTAGGACCAGCTCAGTGTGTGTGTGTGTGTTATGCTCACGTGTCGTATTTTACAAAGTCCGGGACTCGGCAAATCTGTCTGCTTCGGCCACAAACATGTCGTGTTGACAGTCTTGACAGCGACCGCCATAGAGAGCCATAGGCCATAGAGTCCATGGAGCTAGAGCTAGAGAACACTGAACATACGAATGAATTGTAATTATAGTTATAGTAATTATAATTATAAGTTCATAATCCTTGTTTCACACCGATCCACTGAACACTGACCACACGACACAAACAGCGTGCCTCGTCATCGATGTGTCCATGCCCCTCTGACTGCTTGCATCTGACTTGTTCCAGCCTGTGACATTTTCCTGCAACCCTGCCTGAGGCTGCAGCTTGACCAACCAGGTCACTAACAGCTCTGCGGTGACAGAATCCTGTGGATGGGTTTTTACAGAGCCATCGTGGTAGCGCTTGGGCCGCTGATCGGAGTACGGTGGACACGGTGTCCCCGACACAGAGAACTCCGCTCCTTGGCAGCTGCAGCCGCCGGGCGCCTCGCGATGAAGCATGCAGGCACTCCCAGACATCTGTTCTTCCATGCCATAGTGCAAATGACACAGGTCGCTCTGGTAGTTAGCCAGAATCATCTTCTGGCAGTCGCTGCTCCAGTCCGCTGCCGACAGGAACTCGGCGGGCACACCAAGCACCTGAGCTTACAAAAATGGTTTGCAGGCTTATGCCATACCGAAAATGCTAGCCGCTGTGGTCTCCTTTTGCAGATGCAAACAAACCAACTCAATGGGCTCTCGATAAGTGATAGACTTCTTTACAAACTTTAGACTCTAGACACTAGACTCCGTGTCCATGTCTCCTGCAGATAAGGCACATGCAACGCAGCTGCTTCTGCCAGCAGTCCAGAACATGTCGACAGTAACTTCAAAGGTTTTGGTGGTTCAAAACCCTCCTTGCATTTCAGGTGCCGTGCAGCAGCGACAACACTTTCTTTCCACCAGACATCGCAACGCGCCGGCTCGCGACACCCACCAGCTGTTGTGATGGAGGGGATGTCCGAGCTGGCACAGCTTGCCCCACAGTCAGCCTCCACCTGGGAGCTCGCAGAAGAAAGTGTCGGCAGGGTAGGCAACTGCGGTCGCATGTCAACCCATTCCGTATCGCTGTCGCTGCGACAAGCCTCTGCTTCTTCCACACTATCCGCACTCTCCTGAGAAAGAGCGAGATATACCTGGTCCAGATCAGACCATCCCATGGCCTGAACTAACCAATATCCGCTTCACTGCTTCAGAAAAAACAAGCTGCAGCGGTCCCCATTCACCAATGTCCAAGTGCCGATGGGAGCAAAATCAAAATTTGGAACTACAAAGAGGGAACAAGCTTGGGCAAAATACAATCGGTTTCGTTCCGCACAGGCAAGTTCCGCCTGAGCAGCCAAGCAAGCAAGCAAGCTGGTCGCTCACAGGGATTGCAGCTCAACTTAATTGTGGAACATGGGCTTGAAGTCAGGCTTTGGCCTTAAGCCTTCAGCTATCCAGCGATCCAGCTTGTCCTAATGGAATGCCAGAAGTTCTTTTGTGTTTGAGGCACTTGCACTACTTTAGTGACTAAAGCGTGGCTCTGTAGCTGTAGCAGCATGAAACTCGCAGCACCTTACGCAACCACTCATCAAAGCGGTTGGTATCACAGAACGACAAGACTGATAACAAGGCATGCATATGTGTGGGACCCTGTGCCGAATGATGCGTTTTGATAGCCATTGACTGTAGCTTGTCCCGATTCCGAAGCTCTAAGCCCCAAGACTGCCAACCACGCACACACCATGAACCTGTGCCTACACCACAGCCAATTGTTCGAAACAAAGAGGCACCCTTGACTATATAGTATATAGACTAGTCATCACGACTCCTACTTTTATCACCATTGACACAGGAACATAGGCACGCCGAAGAGACGCCCCCCCCTCCCAATAGTTTGACGGCCAATCCAACTCTAGCCGCTCTAATCTCTCTTTCCCATTCACTCAGATCTCAAACAAGACTGAATGCAATGTGTCCATATGTGTGTCCATACGTGTGCACATATGCGGTGGATGTGCATATTCTGTCCTTCACACATATGCCATATGTGCAAAAAAGGCACGCAGTGCAGAAAAAACCAGGATCAACTTTCCAAAATCAGGCAAAAGTTTTCAGAACGAGTGTTTGTGGGAAGCCGTATCATCTTCTGCCACGACTCAGCAGGGCTTCAAACAATTTCTCACATAGAAGCCTGTCCGAACAAACAATCTAGGTCCAGGTCTCTGAACAGGCTGCGTGACACACGTATACCAAAGAAGAATGACGATAGAAACCCTGCCATCATCATTCCATTTAAGAACACTGACATGGTCTGTTTGTTTCTTGTTACAAGCATCATTCCATGTTTCTCACACCGGCCATTCACCACTTTCGACCACCTATCAACATATTTTCTACAAGACACTCATCAACATCACGTTTTTTTCACGTTTTTGACTACGTTTTTCAACATAGCCAATTCACGTTTATTTCACGTTTTTTTCACGTTTTATTTAAATCAACATGGCCAACATCCTCCATTGGTCGCCGGTTTTAAAGCTAGGACCACTTGAGCGATGCAAGGTTTCGACCATTGAAGCAGATCCGGCCCGCAGCCCTTTCACAGCCAATGTTAAAACGGGGGCGCGTGTAATCACCAACCGGAGTATCATCATCTTCGAAAAAATCTTATCCTCCCCCTTCTCCTCCTCCTCCGCCGCTTCCTCTTCCTAATAACTTTGCATCTTCGTGCGCATTTCGCATCGGGAGAGGAATCCTCGTTCTCCGCTCCTCTCATGCATCCTTCCTCATCATCCTGACCCTGATCTTCTTCATAACCCGACTCGTTTGTATCACCAACAACAGCAGGCGACGCGTCGTCATCCCTTCTTGATCTGCATCCTGATCCGACTCGTGGTCTCGTGGTCGTCGCCGGCGATTTCAGGCTTGGCTTTGTCTCGTGCCTGCTCCTCTTCCGGATCCTGACCCTGGTCCACAACGCGATCCACGTTCGCTGTCATAGCCGCTGCTTCCCCATCTTCATCATACTACAGTAATCGCACTACGCACATCATCGACAAACAGCTGCAAGTACAAGCCTATCACCAGTATGCACCATCACTAGGGAATCATGCACATCATCGTGATAAAGCACCAGGATCTATCCCACGACGTCATGAGATTGAGAAGGCTTGCCCGTCACCTAAGATCCGGTAACATAGGCGCGACCTGCCTCTCAATCAAAGACGGTAAAGGGCTCCACATGGACCCGAAGGCTTCCAAATTTGCCCAGGGGCTGGACAGCGTCTGTGGCAGATCATGCCCATTCATCAGCTGTCGCAAACCAGTCTCCTGTGTGCTGATTGGGTGGTCTCGAGCGCTCGGGACATCAGGCATCAGTCTTGCGAGTTTCGGCGCTCGGTCCAAAAGGCCCCTCGGCATGTGCATGACGAGCCAAACATGCAGCTGCTAACTCGTCTAGCCGTCTAGCCTTGGCGTCAAGTTGCAGGCTAAACTCCATGTGGAAACTTCTGGTAAGGAAAAACACTTCCTTCCAGGCGTGAGGCCCACCCTAAACTGGTTCCTTCTCAGCGTATGTATGTATGTATGTATGTATGTATGTATGTATGCACTTGTACAATGCAGGTATGCCTATGTATGTGTGCATACCTACCAAGGATGCGCGCATATATCCAGACATATATTATCATGATATGTACACACGGACACACAGAGTCGGTCGGTCGGTCGGTATGCTTGCGTGTCTATGCATGTATGCATGCATGCATGTACGTAGCAACCTGGTCTGAGACTTCAAATCTCCCTCCCCACCAAATCTCGAACTCGAGACCGGCCGTACCCCTCCGCCTATATACTTCCCGGCACGGAAGCAGATACTCTCGAGTCTCCGGAACTAAGAAGAAGACTCGGTTAAACAGTCTCCCTCGAACCAAGTGTCGTCGAAGGCTCGCAGACGGGGAAGAACATGCTCTTCTTCTAGCTGCCTCAGAACAGCTCTTTGGTCTGGTCAAAGTGTACAGAGTCCATTCTGCATACCGATTGCTCTGCTACCAGTTCTCATTGATGAGAGCTGCAGGACACATGACATGCGAACTGAAGCCACTTCAGGGGCCACGGCACACGTCAGCATCAATTAGTGAAACCGACCACAGGTGTGTCCGCAGCTGTGCGTGGGTGGGCCGGGTGGCTCCAATCCGTGACTCTGTGTATGTATGTGTGTTTGTGCGCCGTGCATGTGTGTCCGCGTGGTGAACACATGCATGTGTATATGCACGTGTATGTATGATGCATATTTGGTGCCTGCCTGCATGCATGCGTGCGCATGGTGTTCGCGATGATTTGTGTTGGCTTCTGCAAGCTCGTAGGCTGTGCCCACATATGCTTGTGTACCCGCATGTCAGCTCGAGTTGCCACGACAACTCCTTCAATGCTTTTGCTGGTCACTACTGTTCCGCTCCTCTACTACTACTACTACTACTACTACTACTACTACTACTAACCACTGCTACTACTGCTGCAGCTACCATTACCACTACCACGACGACGACCACGACCACGACCACGAGGCTACTACTAACAATGAAAATAATGCGAAAATGAAGAACTACTCATAATAGTAATAAGTACAACCGCCTGCTACTACTGTTGCTGCTGCTGCTGCTGATGCTGCTGCTAATAACCGCAACTCATACTGTTCGCACGACTGGTGCTTCTAGCACTACTAGTACTGCGAATACTGTAACTAGTTGCAACTACGGCTACTGGAACTGCTGCTACTGCCACTCATTCTGCTTCTGCTGCTCGACGACGACTACGAAATAGCGACAACGACTGCTACACCTGCTCGAATCTTCTAGAGCCCAGCGAAGTACCAATTCACCGATCGACGCAAGCAAAGCAAACCTTGAACACTCAAAACAAATTCAGCTGAAACCGTTTAGAGTCGAGGATCTCGTAGCGAAAGGCATGACCCCCAACCAGCAACACGATCCAGAAGAGCGCGGCCATGGCGGTCGATTACCTGGGATGTGCTGCACATGCTCGGCCCAAGTCTGAAACGAACAGACAGCGCCTTGGTTCCTTAGGGTTTAAAACAATGCCCGACGCAGCTTGTTGCTGTTCAAAGCACAGGCGCAAAACCAAAGCTTCTCAGAACGCCGCCAAAACGCTCACAATTTTCAATTACCCCCCAGCGCCTAAATCCACCCAAACAGTCGGGCAGAATAAACAGCAATCCCATCTCAGCATGTCCCGCCACTATGCGACGCTAGCAGCTAAAGGGTCCGACGGTGGTCGTTGGCTTAGGGACTAAAGCTGCAGTGAAGATTCCAGAGAAACAGATTGCACGCAACACAACAGCAGAAATCTACATGCTACGCCTTCAACGAAAGCCTGTGTTCGATAAGCAGTGCCGTGCGGCAGGTACGCTTGGATTTGTCAAGCCTGCGCCGATGCTTTGGGCGTTGGTTTGCTTTCTGAGCAGCTTGCAGGCCGAAACAGAGACGTGTAGCAGACAACAGAGTCAAGCAGCAGCCCTGAAGTACTTACTGCAATGACTGCAATGGTGCCGGAAACAAAGTAACTGATGCTTCAGCACCCCGTCTTTCAAAAAGGCTGTCGAACGGGACTTGGCTGCTGTGGGAGTAGTCTTCCATGGGTCAAGATTGGGGGTACACCCCGAACCCCTGGCCCTGACAACTCCAAGCGCCGTCACCCAAGCGAAGTAGGGCGAAGCGTACTTCAAGTACTCTCAAGACGACTGACGGCCGAGACTCAAAGTCAAACTAAAACCCCCGCCTATTCTTTGTTCATGGGAGGCTGCGCGAGGTATCGCCAATTGTCGCCAGCTCTAGAGCCGAGACGTTGTGAAGAGTTTGGGTATGTTTATCACCTGTCTCACCTGCACTGTCGTCAGGTCGGGACAGTCAGGCACTATACACTACAGGGTTTGCTACTACCGCTGTTGCGAGCAACTAGGATCAAGGACCTGACCATGTTCAGGACTATACGACTCACACCGGAAAACTTCAAAAACCAAATACTGCATACAGATCCTCTAAGGCTTCTAAGGCCAACAGGGCGCTCCATCTTCAACAGAACCATGAACCCGTAGTTGCTGTGCGCAATCATGCAAACCGAAGAAGTGGATCGGAAGCTTCGTGTTCGGATTGCCGTTGGTTGTCGACTTACGCCGCACCGTCAGCAAGGCAAGCTAATCCCTGCCTCGTATGCTTCGGTCATTACAGGAGATCAGCTGCAGTTTTTGCCGCATCCGAGATATTGACATACCCATCAGCGCACGGGTCTGGCGAACCACGCCACACCTTTTGCAAACTCCGATTTCCGCGCCAGTCTTCGGTCTTTCGGCGCATCACCTGCAGTACGGCTCACTGCAGACCTGCACGAAACAGTCCGGCAAGCCTATCACATTGTGACAAGTATGCCTTGCAAGACTAAACTTGAAAATGCAAAGAGCCTGTGTTCAAGAGGGACCAATTGCAGCCCCAACTCCTGTAACTCACTTCACGGAGGGCCCTCAAACCTAGCAAGTCCCGGACCGCAGCCCCAAACATTGCTGCAGCCACTGAGCCCCATAAGCCATGACCGGCCAAACGACTGCTCTCTGCATTCTCCACTTCCCAAGCTCGAGGTTTTTTAGACCACGGGCCGGGGTTTCTCGACACTCTTGCAGGCTTGTTCGCTTCGGAAGAAGCTGCACGCATCTAAGTAAGTCAATGTTGCAGGCTGGCCGGCTGCAACAAAAGCACCACGGCGTCACATTCGCGACGGGAGCGATGGACAGCATTCGCAAGAATGTCGTCGCACGATCTCACTCTCGCTTCCGGTCAAACCAAATCAACTCAACTTCGCTCTTCCATTGCTTCAGAACGTCCTCCGACTCTTCCTCCCCATCTTCTGATTTCTCCGATTTCTCCGACACCTCCTTCGTCTCATCAGTCTTCTCGCAACGTCGATGTCTTCTCAGCCTCATGTCTCACGGTTCTTGGGACCCCACCTCTCAAAATCAGGCCAATAGAAGTAGAAATAAATTACAAAAACTGACTTATGTGCATGTGTGTATGTGTGAACATTTAAACACTGAGCAAATATTTTCAACAAACAAGCAACACAACGAAACATTGATAGTTTATATGATATGTATATATATATATGTGTATATATATATACCCTGAACTTCCGCGCACCCGTTTAACTGGTGGGCTTGTGTTTTCATGGTTTTCTGCGTGGGCCTTCCTTTCTTGGCTTCCAGGCTGTGTACCACGATTTACTCATAGCTCCAAAGCACAGTTACAGAGCCTTCACATAACCATGCAGCAACAGTATTGTCTTGAAAAAATCCGGGCAATTCTTGCATTTATATCGAACGATGGTATGATGGCTCGCCAAGTGCTCCAACTACTTCTGTGGGCACGGTTCTCAGAAAATTGTTTCAGATTCAGGCACCGTTGCAGATTCTCAGTACTCAATATCTCAATGAGGCGATCGCGATGCCTTATACGTTTGCGCGAAAAGCTTTTGCTGCTCGCTCGAAGCTTAGGCTCTTATTCTCGCCTGCTTGGGGTTCCTCGATGCATTTTTCAAATCTCCCGGTAGCTCCTCCAGGTCTGGTGGAAATGGACGAGATGGAGACAGGTGATCCACCATTCGCTTTGATTTTGAGGGTTTCGCATGAGAGCTGCAAAAGCGTACTTGTTGTCTGGCAAACTTTGACATGCCAACCGCCGTCTATCAAGCAGATCTTGCGGATATGAGAACAGGTGTGCCTTACATTCGGCATGCCTGATAGTAAACCGAACCCGCAACGGTTGAAGTTGCTGCAGGACGGGTGATTCCTTTTAGTTTCGAGCATCCTGTTCTGCGACTGGTTGTAGCAGCTGCAACTTGGGGCAGGAATTCTTCCGCGATCTCCTCCAGCCGGGGTATGTGAATCAACGCATCGAAAGTCTGAAAAAGAAGCTTAACAGCCTGAGGAAAAAGAATGACAGTCAGGCGGGGATTATCTCAACCAAACTTGGTAGGTTACGAAAAAAATCTGACGTTCTCCGCAGGCACCGTACCGGTTTCGATTCCTGGACGTGACAGGCAAGTCTGTTTGCGAGGAGCAGGCCAGGGCCAACTTTGACAGGGGCTGGGCTAAGCTACTAATCTTTCAGATCTTCCCAGGTTTGTGACGATTACAATTTTCCCGTCGTCCTCAACTACTGTGCCACATTCGCTGGTGACTTACCAACGAAGAAAGAAGTGGAGGTCGGCCAGGTTTTAGCAAAGTGTTTGTATTCGAAAATCATGTCGGGGTTCTGCAAACAGGCTGCGATGATTTGGTCCAATTCGACTTTCCGCCTTCATGACAGCACCCTTTCCAAAGATGATTTGGAAGTCGTAACCTCAGAATCGTATCAGAATCAGCCCGTAAGGCTTTCACCCAACTTCCCGATCCCAGGAATGGGCTTCAGAGGAAGCAGGGATTCTGCGAACGTTCAGTTCTTGGGCCTGCGACCGGGCGCAGAGGAACAAACGTTCGAGGTGCTCTCTTGCAGCCGCACTCCATTCGAGATTCCGGGGGCATTTAGCTTGTGTCAGGAGGGGCACCCATCACGAGAAAATGGATAAGCTCAAGCAGGTCATCCAGAGCAAGAAAGAGGACTATCCAGAACCGCCTAACACCATCGATTGGTATAAAACTCAAGCAACCACTACCCTCCAGGAGCTCGCCCAGCAGTCCACAGATGCGAAAGCGGAGGCCGTTCGTTGTGATGAGAATTTCTTTGGGCTGGAGCAGTTTTGGAGCTTTCTTGGTTTGAAAGTATTCCGTTCTCTGCGGATTTAGTTTAGCGCATCGCTTCGTAGAGTCGAAAGTAGTTTTGCCCATCTTGGTCACCAATACTAAATTTTGCAACTTCAGGAGTTTAAGTTTTAAGGATCTCGAGTTCAGGGTTTATAAGCTTCGGGATTGATTGGAGGTAGACCCTGTTAACCACTAGACGGGTTGTACGGAAAGTTCATTTCATGCAGAACCCAAGCCTTAAGCCTTAAAGCTAAACATCGATACCCTCAAGGCCAAGCCCCAAAATCCCAGACCCTGTGACCTTTTGGACATTGACTGCTATTGGGACGGTTGCCGCTATTGTGTAGTGGGCCACTGTGGTTATGTCAATATTTTTAGTGCTATCTAGCAGTGTTGCTACTGTCCCCAGTCCTACTCTTACTCCTGCTGCTGCTCCTACTATGAACTAAATGCTGCCACAAGTACAACAAGTACAACAAGCACTACAACAACAACTAGCACTACTAGTACTCGTACTAGTACTAGTACTAGTACTAGTACTACTACTACTACTACTACTACTACTACTACTACTACTACTCCTGCTTTTGCTTACTTTGCGACGACACATTGTACAGGTTTGGGCTGCATGTAAATTTTCGCTGCCGTTGGGAAGTCGGAACCGAAAATATTCCACTAGCTTGTTATATTGCACACTATTATAAATTAAAAATGTCAGAACGTGCATCTAGGGGTACAGGTATCCTTCCCGTTTACAGGACTTTAAGCTTTGCTTCGATCTAGTCGTAGCCGATGTAGGAAGGGGAATCTAAGGTTAAGGGTACCATTCACGCTTGCAGGAACTTAAGCTTTGGAAAGATTTAATCCTAGCCGATACAACCGTATATAAGTCTGTGATATGCTAGCTGTTGTTGTTGTTGTTGTTGCTGCTGCTGCTGCCATCGCAGCAGGCCGGAGATGAGACCTGCGAGCAGGCTGAGGGCGGTGAAGAGGAGAACCCTCCTGAAGATGATGTGTGTGTGGGTGGGGAAGACATCGAAAGTCAAGATGACGCTGCCAAAGAGGGTGGTGCATACAAGGACTGGGGTGGGTCTGAGGCTTGGGATAAATCTTACTTGTTGTTGCCTTCGAGTTGTCGAATTTGCTTACAATGCAAACCTGTCCCAGGATGAAGAACCTACTAAGGGATCGGTGCCTTCCCTGCCAGAAAAGTTGACGGCGAAAGCCAAGAAGATGCTAAAGCAACATCAGAAGGAAGATCCCAATCTGGCTGTCCAGGCTCTATATGATATCTTATGTCTTATGCTAGGTTATCAATCCCAAAAGCTTTCATGCCAGGCACAACAGAAAGCAAGGAAAGCTCTTCGCGAGAGGAGCAAGGGCACAATAGCCGAGAATGACGAGGATCCGCAGTCTCCCGATTCCGTTCCTGGACAGAGTAAACAGAGAGGCAGGGGCCGAGGCAGGGGCCGAGGCAGGGGAAGGGGGAGGAAACAATCCCAGGATGCTCCCGTGATGAAGCGGCCAGCCGCCAAGGAAACCACCGTCCCCGCAAAAAAAAGCCGAAAGGCAACCGACGCCACAACGAAAAAGCCGGCAGTAGCAGACCCAGAAGATCAGGAAGAGAAAGAGGAGGGAGAGAACGATAAGGAAGGCCAGGAAGAGGAGGAGGGAGAGGACGATAAGGAAGGTCAGGAACAGGAAGAGGAGGGAGAGGACAATGAGGATGGCCACGAACAGGAAGACGAGGAAGAGGACAATAAGGATGGAGAATCAGAAGATGCAGATAAGGAAGAAGCTGAAGAGGGACAAGAAGAAGACGACGAAGCGCCCCTCAAGAAACCGGCAGGGAAAGATGATCCGCGAGCCAAGGTTTCCATGCGTGCAAGGGTCGCATATCAGAGCTGTTTTATTGTTTCAGTGCTGTGTTCGCAGGTCAAAAAAACGTTCTTGCCCCAGTTCCGTGCTATTGCTGACAAAGATCTACGTATGGTGCTCAATCTCAACGTCCTCCACGGGCCAAAGGGGTGAGAACCTAAGTTATTTCAATTATCACGGTCGATATTTTTGTAAGACCATCCCCAAATAATTACGTGCTAGGTCCTGGACGATTCGCATTGTTGGAAAGCCAGCATCAATCGGTATCGTGCGCAAGCCTTACTCGTGACATGTTGTGATATGAGATGGTAGCAGAACAGAAACCTGGAAATAATCAATCCCTTTCTGAGTCTGTTGAGGTTCAATGAATACTCCGGCAGTTTCTACATATGTCCAGCAGACGAAGCCCGCACGAAGAGTGTCAACAAGAAGTATGGGACAAAGCTCGTGGCCTTGGACCTACCTTGATGGCAACATGACATCCCGCAGCCCCAAACTCTAACCAACGCTGCTCGATCAAGGCCAACAAAAAAGAAAAGCCTGGCCTCTCCCTCGGCTTCACTCGCTTCAAGGATCTGCAGACGGCGCCTGCCGCCCAGAGGGTCCAACAGCTCAGTTGTCCGTATATTACTCAATTTAAAGATGGTTTTACTTAAGCCCGTTTTCAATCTCAGGTGGGATGCTGCCTGTCTGGCTGCTGGCTGGTGAAGATCTTCAGTTTTCCGCATATCGATTCAGTGCACTGCTTGAAGTAGCTGCTGCTTGATCCGATGCAAAAGATTCTCAGATTCTTCGGCATTCTGTGTCTTGCTTGATTGATCGAGCAAAGCCCCCTGCTGCTGCATATCAGATGCTTAAATCGTGGCAAAGACTTGTGGCTCCCCAGCGTTTCTGATTTCGAGGTTTGTGCTTTACGTGAGCGGTTAGCATGTTTTGGATGCTGCGACCTGTCGCAATAACCCGCGACACCTGGCAAGCCTTGGTTTTCTGTGGCTTCCCAAGTATCTTGTTGCTTGAAAGCACCTAGGGGCTTACGGATGGTGTGCGCAATCTATGTAGTAGCAACAAGACTTTGTTCGCAGGTTGCATCTTGCAGACTACATTGCGCAGAACGCGGAGTCGCCGAACGATGAGCGAGCACTCGTCCTAGTGTTTGGTCTCACGGGCTTATGTGTGTAGAAACCTATCCTTTGGAATATTCTATAATGCTGAGGATCTACAATGTCTAGATCTTTTCGGAGGTCGACGATCCGTGGAGGCAGGCTTCAGTCTGGGTCTCAATCAGCACCACATATTACTACAAGACGTGTTTGCTTCTTTCCTTCATATTTTGAGGTAGCTTGGGATGCAAATCGTCCCCGTCTTACGGTCTTGTGTGCGAGAGCACTGACTTCAATATGGAAATCCTGTTGCCTAGGGATTACTTCGATATGGACTCCCGGCCGGACGACGATCTGCTCACAGCGTAAGGAACCTACATCAGTTGTTGTAGGTTTCTGGATCTAGGGTTTCCGGGGTTCAACCCTTGGTTTCTCACTAAGGTTGGGGCTGCTACGAGCGATGATGAAGGTGCTTCGGCTTTCCCCTCGCGGGTTACTGGCTGCCGGGCTCCCCTGTGGATCCTGGGTCTGGATGAACCGCAAAACATCGGGCAGGACAATACATACGATATTCGGTTCCGTCCTGCACCGATACATCAGAGAAGCCAACGTGTCCTTTGGAGCATTGGCACCTACATTTCGGACCTAGGTTAGCTATCCTATTTTTGACATCACGAGCAACAATGGGTTCCTCAGAGGGTTCGTTTCGGGACCTTAGTTAATTTAGCAGGGGCTTTCGGTGGGGTTGGGGAGTTCTCTGGGTGTATACTTTCTCAGACCCCCGAATTACTACAACAAAGCCTTAAATCAATTATTTTACGACACGAACCTTTAAGTCTCCCCACATAATATTCTAGCCAATGATAGCCAATCGCCCTTAGCAAACCCAAATCTACTTTCCCAGGTTGGCCACTCGCACTGTGTTGTTGTGCCTCCTGGCATCGATGCGATCAGTGTATTGGTACGTGGAACAGCCGGCATCTTCGGTTTTCCCGAACTATCCATACATGGTCTTCCTCCAACAGATCTTGGATCGCTACATCCCCATTCACACCGTGAGGTTGTTGCAGCCTTAGTCTTGAAGTATGTTCTAGTCTTGACTCAACTAGTTCAGAAGAGTTTTGAATCTGTGCATGTCGCTCCTAGCAGCTAAGTTCAATGGGAGCATACGGACACGGATCTGTCAAGCCGACGGTGATGTTGGGAAACACGTCCGAAACTTACCAGCTCCTCGACCCTATCCAAACTTCCTGCCCCAAAAAGAATGTGGCTGCAGGCCTTGGCTGTCCAAGATGTACATGAAGCTCACGCACGCCCGGAAGAAGGAACTGGGCCTTTGTTCCAAAGGGGTTGTGAAGAGGAGCATCGACAAACGAAGTGGCCGAGAAAAGGTGCCCGAACCCTAGCATGGACTCTGTCCGTACATGTGTCTGTTCTGCCACAAAATACTCGTGCACACTTAACCCTTAACATGTCTGGTGTAGTTCGATCTAGACGAACCAAGGACAGGAGGACCCAAGCTGAAGCAAACCCAGATGTACCCTGCTGCCTTTGGTAAAGCGGTGGCCACAAATCACATGAACTTCATTGCCTGTGCCTCAAACAATTGCTTCAGTTTTGAAGACCCCAGGATATAGGTATCCCACTCGATATTCCCAGTATAATCCTCCCAGGCAGACCAAAGATGCTTTCTACGCCCTGCCGTCCAAGACTTGGCCGAGGCCCAACCGAAGAATGGTCAAGATTTTCGGGGTTGTGTCCAATCGGTTTTCGTGTCCCTTCCTTGCTAGGCTGGGGAAACTGGATCGTCGCTTCTGGAGCCTCCGTATGAGTGGAAGCACGCAAACTTGAGCCCTGTAGTTGATTTTCTGTCTGCAGAGATTAAGGCGGGTCGATACCGGCCCGTCTTCAAGTTCCCTTAAGCTGTGCTCTGCCATGCCACAATCGATGATACATTTGTGATTCCTAATCATACTACATGAGTACTCCACAGGAGGTGTGAGAGAGACACGGCAGGCTTTGTATATGACTGTGTGAATAGCAGTAAGCCCTAAATCTTCGTGGCACGGGGAGATCGCGCGGAGACCAAAACAGCAGGGATTGCACGCAGCACCCCAATGGTTCCACAACAGCCAAAACAAAACTCAACACGCATGCAAAACCCCACCAGCGTGAAAACAGCGTGAAACCAGCGTGAAACCAGCGTGAAACCCACCGTGATAACTGTGAAACCCACCGTGATAACTGTGAATCTGTGTGACCCCAAAACTCACTCTGAACCGCGTTTGCGTTTTGGTGTCCGTGCGCAACTGTAAAGTGCTTTGCGGTACGTGTGCGTACACATGCTGAATTCATCCGGATCAAGGAGGGTTCTTCGAGACCTCTTGCTCACACGGCATTGTGCTTTGTGGTCATGGTAATCAGCTGTGACGTGGATGAAGTGCTGAGAAGGGCCCGCGAGAGGGCGACCAGGGCCTCCAAAACTGGGGGCCAGGATAACGGTGCCTTCACGCCTTCCTCTACGGGGCTGGGTCCTTTGATAATTTCAAACGAGTATGGCTGTGCTCATGCATGCATATATAATATCGTTCCCTCTCCTCCTGCCGAGGACCAAGTCAACACCAAAGGAGGATAAGCCCAGCACCCCACCAGGCAAGGATACTTTTCAAAAAGGCCTTGCCGGCAAGAAGCCGCTTCGTCAAGACTCGTGCCAGACAGTCGTGGAGACCCCGCCGCCCAAGCGCCGAAGCACGTCGTTTGTCGAAGGCGAGTCTGGTTCCAAGTTGCCAAACAAAGCGGCCGCCGCGTTGCGCCGACCCCAGACAACCGATCAGCTAGGCAGCCAAGAAAGAAAGACGAAAGCACAGAAGGTTCAAAGAGACTTGGACGAAGAGTTCAAGAAATCCCGAGCTGAAGCCACAGCCACAGAGGAAAAGGAAGATGAGGAACCAAGTAATGAACCCAGCAAGCACAAGAACAACAACAAGCCAAAGGCGGCTGGCAAAGCCAAAGCAAAATCCTCAAAGACACACAACAACGCGAAGAATGCACAGCCAAAGAAAAAAGCACAGGCTGCCCCCAGCTCCACCAGCACACCGCGGAAACTGGAAACGGAGGAGGAAGCAAAAGCCAATGATGAATATGCTTTGAAGGACCATGGCTCGGCAAAGAGCAGCAACCAAGCAGCCAACCCGCGCAAGACCAAACTCAAGCCGGAACACAGCCCACCTAGCAAGAAGGATGGCAAGGAGCAGAAGAAGGAGGAGGAGGAAGAGGAGTCAATCGATGACAAAGACAAGAAGACTCTCGCGCATAAGCTGTACATGCGCTTTTGGCGAAGTGTGCACGGCAGCAACCCCAGTGTTAATATCGTGTCGCATGCGCCTAATATAACTGATGACCCAGTCGATTCTATTCTCGCCTAATATAAGGCAAGAGAACGCCCAAAGAGATCAAGAACGCTTACGAAGCATCGAAGTATTGTGCTGTGGCAAAAACATGACGTTTCACGTGTCGTGTGCGGTGTAAACACGTGTACGCAATCGCATCTGTAGATACGTACAACCAAGGCAAGCACCGGATGAGCTCCCTCTACGAAGACTTTCAGCAGTGCAAAGGCCAGTGGCACAACTCAGTTGTTCTGAAGAGCATCCGGAGAACAGCGCGGAACACACGCCGCGGCACGAGACGATGGCTTACGAAGCCACAAATGCTTGAGATCTTCAAAGACCCGGAGATCGTGAAGTCGATCATCTTGAGGAAGGAAATGGATGACGAGTTGAGGGCCACAGAGATTCGCCACCACCCCGAGCTTCCAGGTTTGGGCGGGAGGGGTGACTGGGTGGGATTTTCAGTTTTCGTGCGCAACGGGTAGTCACAATGCACTCGGAAGGTCTGTTGCAATACCTCGTTCTGGTGGAAGATGAGCAGTGCGGGGAGTTTGTGGACGAGGTCAGTGATCTCTTCCAGATGGAAGCCAGGGAGGAGGAAACATCCGATGATGAGGAAGACAGCTCCGGCGACAACGATGACGATCGCAGCGACGACAAAGAGAAAGACAAAAAGAAAGACAAAAAG